AATCCTTTATACGCGGGTACTGTACTCATTGAGCTCTACAAAATAACAAATACCCGATTCGAAACGGAGACTCACACTTGGGGACCTTCCCTCGTCAGTCCAGCAAATTCCACATCGAAACCTATAAGTCATCCGAAAGATATGAGAATAAGTTTTTTTGAACTCTGTGACCAACACACCCTGCACATTATTCAGACGAATAGTGCCCGTCGGATCCGGAATCAACCTTAAGAATTCTATTCATATATTCTTAGGATCTACATGATGAACATAATTCCGATTCAAAAGCGATTTGATACTGGAAAACATTCTCTCGTGTCCTAATCTCTTCGTGAAACACGATCTACAAGACATGTTGAAAGATAGGAGTAATATAAATAACGTCTCGTTCTAATATATAAACTATTTCTTTTGTTGCATATCAGAAGAATGAAATAAAATGATGACGAAGAAATGTATCCCAAAAATAGATAGTACAAAATAATCTTCCTATGATTGGTAACAACAACTACATCGTATTTCACATTTTAATCCTACTCAGATTATGTTAACAACTGTTTTTATTTTCTCATAAATCTAGATTCACAAAAAAATCAAACATTTCCAATTGGATCTGATGATATTAAAAACAATTTAACAATTATTCTACTTGATTCTCAAGCACTTACACAACAAAATCGTTTAACATTTTCTGTCTATAATCAACGAAATGGTTTATTTGATGAAAAACAATATCGAGTATTAACAAGAATTATTTCATTAACAATTGATAAACCAGAATTAACAAAAAATTTCGGAAGATTTGTAAAAATAAATTTTTATCTTGAAAATAATTATGAAGAAAAATATGGTAATTTAACATGTGCTTATTGGCATATATTTGATAATATGACAGCACAATGGTCAAAAGATGGATGTTATTTAATTAATATAACAGATCAAAATATTATTTGTGAATGTAATCATTTAACTCATTTCGCAGTTTTAATGGTTTAAAATTAAATATTTGTTTTCTTTTTTTTATTATAAACTATTGTTTTTCTTTTTTTTTTAAAGGATATTGAACAAAAATCAACGCCAGAATCTATTGAACAAGTACTTTCGATTATAACATTAGGTGGTTTATTATTATCATCTATTGGTTTATGTTTAACAATTTTAACATTTATACTTTTTCAGTAAGTTAAAATGTTTTATAATTAAATTTTTATTTTTTTTTATTTTTATTTTAGAAAATTACGTCGTCATTTCAGTCAAAAAGCTCTTCTTTTATTATCAATTAATCTTCTTTTTGTTAATATTTTATTTTCAATTATTGGTTTATATAAATTAACACATTTATCATGTATTATTATTGCTAGTGTATTACATTATTTTATTTTATCATCATTCAGTTGGATGTTTATTATGGCATTAATACAATATTTACTTTTTGTTAAAGTTTTTCCACGTTCAATTTCAGCATTTACACGAAAAGCAGCTGCATTTGCTCAATGTAAGTTTAGAAAATTGAACACTAGAACAAAAGCAACATGTTCGACTCGATATTACAGCTACAAATTGTTCCTTATGAGGTTAAGATTCCGAAAAAAACGAATTTTAATATGAAAGATTGTCGACAGATAAATTTAGTAATCATTCGATAGTCTTGAAAGTTTCAGCGCGAATGAATATTTCTTTCGTGTGATATTCATTTTCGAAAAAAATAACGGTTTACCATAGTGAGTTTTGTTCTGAAATGTATATAAGTTTCTAAAAAAAAAAAGAAGTTTAATATTGTGTAGAATTGAAGCAAAACGTGGACAAAATGATCCTATTCTCAAAATGAAAAATATTTTTTGACTAGAATGAAAATTAATACAGTTCATTTTATTCAGGTCTAAATTCGAACTTTCGGCTTTAGTCTGATACGGATAATACAGTTCGACACATTTGCTTATTTCATTATTTTTGATTCGCACTGTGTTTATTATAAAACATTCAGATATTGGCAAAAGTCTTTTGTTGTGTTTTTTTGTTAAGTGATCTTCTCTTCTGTATGAAGTAATTATTTGAATTAATCCAAGATATAAACACAATTGGTTCTAACATTCTTTCTTGAATATATATCGTTTACATATTTGATAGTTAGTAATGTGTGGCAAGAAGTCTCTGAAAAACTACTTTTTTCTTTTCGGAAATCGAACGAATGTTCGCCCGCTATATACATTTATAGAATTTTTTGTAGTTTTAGTTTCAAAACTGAATTTTTGATGAGTACAAAAAGAATTGATCCCATCAATTTCTAATTGTGAAAATGTTAGTATTGAATTGTGTTAGGGATGCGCCGTGTCAGTTTACTGACGATCAACATCATCGAGTCAATGTTCGCTGAAATACTAGAGCACGCCAGAACAAAAAAAGGATTATATTTTGATAGAGTTCGTATCTCAATATTATAGCGAACATGAATGTTAGTGCTTCAGTGGACTTATGTCGGTTATTCACAGTCAATATTTCCACTAACACTGAACATTTATAGATTTTATACTAATCATTGTGTGTTGAAAAAAGTCCTTAACCTCAATATCATACAGCGTTAACCCTTTATGTACCATGACTCAGCCAATGAATGAGATTTCTTTTAGAGTTTGTATTTAATATGGACAGTATGCATTGTTGATATATTCATCAAAACTTTTAAATAAATCTTTAAAGTCATTTTTGGTTCATGCCTGTACTCCCCCACAGGGATGGCCAAGAAGTACTTTGATCATTCCTGTAGGGGAGTACGGGTGTGGGTCGAAATTCGATTTAGAGCTGTCACCATATCAACCTTTGGAATATCAGTACGAGCCACTCCTAACTTGATTCCAACACGAAAAATCGAAATATTTTGCCGACCGCAAAAGGACATCATTAGCTCTCCTTATTTTTAGAATAGAAGTGGTGTTCCACAGATTCGTCAGACTTACTACCTAAGTGATCTCATTAGGGTATTAACTCTTATATAGATGTATGCACGGAAGTCTCTTCTATGTCACAGAGAAAACCACAGTTCGATATCATTTCGTGTTCGCGAGTTACTCAAGAACTAAGAGACTTGAAAAAAACGTACTTTATAAAGTACGCTGGTACTTAAAGGGTTAAAATAGCTTTTGGCCAGTGCTCAAATCATTCGTTCGATAATATATCGAGACCATTATATTCATATGATAAGATAGGAAAAATGTCGTAAAGAGAATGGCAAAAACTTGTCATCAAATTTATTTGCTGTTTAGAATTGTGACTTATAAAATGATATGGTTATGAATATTGAGTTTATAGAACTATCTGTCGAAGTATTCTGTATTTGATATGTAGACAAATCATGGGTTTTGTTCTTTTTATGTTTCTAACATATTGACTGAAATCCATAGTCTCGTTCTTTTTTTTCTTCGAATAATCATCTTTATTCAATCATATAATATTCAAAGAGTTAATTTTAAAAAAAAAGTATATATTTTACAGTAGTTCCATTGATTCCCGTCAGTGTTATTTTGGTTATTGATCCATTAAATTATACCAAACGAAATGATGGAATGTAAGATAATAATTTCATTTAATTTTTGAAATTAATTATTAGATTTTCTAGTTGTTGGCTATCCGATCTACCACTTTATTTATCATTTATTTTACCTATACTTTTGTATATGATGATAAATAGTATCCTGTTTTCAATAGTTGCTCATTCACTTCTATGTGGAAAAACAGGTCAACAATTGCGTAGTACACAAATGGCTGAATCCCACCGTTTATCACGTTTTTTAGTAGCATTAAGTTGTTTTGTTGTACTTGGTCTTACTTGGATATTTGGTTTATTTGCTATTGGACCAATACGTTTTTTATTTCAAATTCTTTTTTGTACATTTGCTTCATTAACAGGATTTTTCATTTTTCTTCTTTATATTGTAACATCAAAAGCAAAACGAAAATGTTGGAATAGTATGTTTATATACACTTTTTTTATTTTTGTTGTTATTTTGTTTTTTTCTTGATTATTTAGATGCATTTAAATCACTTGGTATATCATCAATTTATTCTCCAACATTATCAACATCATCTGGTTTAACTGGTAATAAAGAATTTTCAACATCATCAACAAATGATCAACAAAAAATTCCTTCACGTCTCGTACAATTTCCATCTCAACCACAACATTTTATTGATGCATACATGCCATCATCACCTCCACCACCAGCTCCACCATTACCATTACCACCACCATTTTTAATTGAAGGTGATGATCCATTAAATAAAACAACATTATTAAATAATATTTATGAAACAAAACATGTTTGGATACCACAAACAAATTATATTTATGAATCTAATCAACCAACAACATCATTAGATGATTATTCTTTATTCTATGCTTCGAATCATGATGCTACAAAACTTTAATTCATTTTTACTTTTTCCTTGTTCTACAGTCAGATGTATGTATGCTCAATAATCCGGTTGTTTGTTTTAATCCATTTTCTGTTTTACTGCATATGTAATTCTTCTCTTTTTATGAAAATAAATATTCGAGAAAATTTTCGAATTTTGATTTGAAAGTTTACGTAGAGAAATACTTATGATAAAAGTTTCCGATTGACTTTTTGATTTGTTCTAATCTTGATATAGGAACATTGTAAATATAATAAGTGCACTTGAAATTGTCGAACTCTTATTAAGGTATTCCATAGCTCATTTGAGTTCAGCTAATGCATTATAGTCTCGACTCAAAAGCGATTGATCAGTTGGAAAGCTTCTCCCTAGTTAGTGAATAGAATAAATGCTTGAAAATACAGGGTGGCCCATAAGTAACGCAACCGAAGTAAAAATTGAATATCTCCTGTACAGCTCAAGTAAAAAAGCTAATTTTTTCACCAGTGATAGAGACATGTATAAGCTATATATCCATAAAGACATATCTAGAGGGAGACTCTTTGTTAAGTATCACTATTGACCTCCATAAGAAAAATTTACTT